CTACTGTGATTGGTCACCGTAAACACAGTCATACCCACATGGAGATTCTTGTACTGTCACTGACAGCTAATATTACAGGAAGTCCAGAGGCGGCGGAGTTAATGGAGACTCCAAATTAAGGGTCCACATAACAAATTCAAGTAAAAACATTTTTGTCAAGTAACATATAAACATTGTAAAACTGGCAGGGAAAAAGTGCATTGTAAGATTTTCTTTAGCCTATCCAAATGAATAGCATTCCTTAACTGTTTTTAAGCCTGAATAGGTAAGGCTACACAGTGGGTATAACAAAACACTCAACTCACATGGTCTGCCCTTTGTTCCTGATTGGATCATTAAATTGAAATTTAATAGAAGTGAAAACATCAGAGCAGGCGTTTTTCTTTTTACACTGAGCTGTGGTTGCACCTATAGAGCATCCATATTTCACTGCTGTAATCAGATTTTAAAAATTGATATTGCATTTTTTATGTTGTTGTACCATTATGCAGCATACTGACTGTTTTTATGCTGCATTTTAGCGCTTTTTCTTTTAACCAAAACACATTTGAAAGATGATGTCACTTCACAGCTTTAGCTGTGCCATAGCATTAACCTGTATGAGCACGCGCGTCCTCCAGCACCAAGCAGAAACGCTCTCAGACACATGTCCCATTCTTTGCCTCTCCCTGTGTTTTTTGTTTCCAGCTGCATCCCAGTCATTGAATTTGTGCATGAGGACTTGTGAGTGGGTGGCAGTTAATATGTGCACGTGTGGAAATAATATAATTTTCTAATGAACGTGTTCTGTTACGCTCGTATTCTATGGCAAAATCGAACACCCTGTGTGGCGCTTTGAAATCTGCTAATTATCTAAAAAAATAAAATAAAATCTTCCTCAGACTCGAATCTGGTATCCGTTCATATCTGTGGAGGATTTTTGTTCCAAAACCTTCTTGTCTCCAGAGGGGCTGCAAAAAAATAAATAAATAAATGTTAGAAACAACAACGAGGTTTATTCATATAAGAAGCAAACTGTGACTAATTTAGAAGCTCCTTCTTTTTGCCTTCGATCATAAGACATCTCCAGCGCAAATACTGAGAACTATGCAGAGCATGTGATTAATCATACCGCCTCTCAACACGGCTGATCCTCCGTATGGGGCTGCCTGGTCCTCTGAGGGGTGAACCCATGCTGTTCCTCCTATCTTTGGTGGGAGATGGAGGTGCAGGCTTTCCTATCTGCAAAACCACAAAAGAACATGAGAGCTTCATTCACTTGAAAACATCATGAGTGAGCTACCAGTGCTTTCACCATTACTCTGAGTGTCAGTGGCTGAAGTATGTCTCTGTCTTTAATGTGATTGTGTAATGCACTGAGTGCACAAGATCAGCTACTGATGGACAGAGCCACCCTTGAGTAAAGCACTGCAGAGCAGCGTCAAGTCATTAGTTTTATTATACACCGAGCTCAGCATCCAGGCTGCCTTCATTATATGAGCATCAGAGGTGATGAGAGAACAGCATTTGAGAGAGATTGCTCTTCAAACAGCGGTTCAAATCAGTGTCACCACGCATGAAGAGAGAGCACGTCAAAGGGGATTTGATAAGCAGAAAGGGCAGTCCACCTGCGCCACTCTACCTTTAGCCTCATGTCTCGAGTATGTCTCTCCAGCTCCTTCCGTAGCTCCTCCTTGGTGAGCTTGTCCACATCAAGTATCGAATGTTTCCACTCTATCTGCTCCACGCTGTGAGGATCGTGAGAAACGTACTGGCCAATCTTGACTTTTCGTAAGGTGTGCCAGTAGCCCCTGTATGCTCCTTCAAACTCCTGGACCAAGTCCAGTAGTGTTCGAAATTCCAGGGGCTTAAACATGAGGTCCTCTCTTCGGCTCATGCCCAGCGCTCCGAAGCGCCCCCCGCTGTGGACTCCCAGCACAATGTGGTGGAAGTGGTTCCCTGAGAACTGAGATTTAAAGCTGAGGGGGAAGCGCTCCACGGCAGGCATGTTGTTGGTGAGGTAACTGCATCAAGCTGAGTCAAGGAAACGTACAACTGTCCTTCAAATCCTAAGTCTAAAAAACGTCTGTACAAATTGATCTAAAACCGGGCATATAATGGTGAAGCCTGCTGCTTCTTATCATGTAGAAAATCCATCTGTTTTGTTCCGCTATACTAGATAATATCTGAAGCCAAAATTTGATGAGAAAACATACGGTAGGTCTGCCAAAAACAAATTTATGAATCCATTTGTCAACCCATTCTGTCAGGCTCCACTGGAGTGAAGCAGAAAACAAAACAGTAACACTTTATAATACAGCCGTGACTAAAGGTGCAATTCCATAGCAATTAAATGGAATTTCATTGAATTTTATGCATATGTATCCATTAATGTTTTAAAATTACTGTTTGTTTTTTCTCTAAAATACCAGGAAATTATGCAGTACTTAAATTTACATACAGTATAATTATTTCTTGTTTACCTACCCTTAAGTATTTGTGTAGAAATATAATTACATTGTAATTTTAAATAAAATTAATTGAAATTTAATTTAATTACAGGGTAATTACGCCCTTAGTCTCAGGCTGCATTGTAAAGTGCTGCCAACAAAACAATAAATTAAGACCTGCACCACGTCCTCTGTGGTTATAAAGATACATTCCCAAGATCACTGCCTCCAGACATTTGATTGGCAGAGCCTCCCGCGTCATCTCCTTAGCAATGTCCATTAACCTGCGCAAAACAAACGAAAAACAAGAGTACCATTTAATGTCATTCTGAGTTAGGAGACAGCAGCCTACTGCACTACCAGTTACAGGAACACATTGTTATTGATTTCATGAAAACAAAAGCATTGTCATTGAGCCAGGGAAATAATATTGGCGCTACTAAATCTAATAAAGTGAGGTCAGGGAAAGTGTTTTCCAGCCCTGTGCTGATTGACACACACTCCTACACACAAAGCCCTGAAGTAAACCAGAGAGATCCATATGCATGCACTCACAGAAACACTGGGTAAATATTAAGAAATCAAACACCCTCATCCCAGACATCCTGTGATTGCTGCTGTAAATATCTGTGACTGAAGAATTCCTTACGCAGTAAGAGGGCGGCTTTTCTTTATTTCAAAAAACTGCGTTCCTGTGTGATTGTACCTGTAAAGCACAGTTAAGGTCATACTGCGAGAAGGCAACATGACAAATGTTTTAAGAGAAAGGAAAAGGCAGCTCCTTAAAGTGCTCTGTGGGAGTCATAGGCTGTTGGTTAATAATGGATGAAATCCTTCTCTGGCTGGAAATCAAGCTTTCACCTAATATAGCATCTGTGGTGGCCTACATTATATTTCAGCTGTCTGGCCCATATTTTAAACTGTGAAAAAAACAGTGGGTCAGTGGGATTCTGCACTTTAACATCCACATTTCCTACGATCGGTGTGTAAAATCTATAAACAATCTATATAGTCTCAAAATCATTTTAAATGCACCCTGTTATCACTGATTTAGTTCTAACCGGCTTGCTCAAAGGATACTGCAATTCCCTGATGTACTTCTGTATGGCTTCCAGGCGCTGTGGGATAGTGGTGGTAGGCTGGTATGTAGGCACACTTGGTATTGGAATCTGTGGGACAGAGCATCCGAACATCTGCATTACCATAACACAATCCCAATATTCATTGCAGCTGGTGAATGTAGCATTGTTTGACCTCTGTGCTCTTCTGTTTTGTATAACTAATAGCAAAAGTAGCAAAATAGAAATTTCCTGTGCAGGGAAGTTTGCACAAAACACGCATTATATTCAGTGCTGTGCGAGCAGCTGCATTTCCTTCCTCCTTCCTTTGGGCTTTACCTTGGGCAGGTCAGTGGCACCTCTTATCTCCTTCGCCAATGCTTCACCGCTGGGATGGATTCGAGCCACATGGCGCCACATCCTCTCCCAAGTCTCCTCATCCACCGGGAAGCCACTTCTGTTCACATAGAAAGGCACCCCTCCATCCCTCAACTCTTCGTCGCCTTCATCCTCCTGCTCCTCGTCTCTCTCCTCCAATGAGCCAACTGTGGCCAAGAGCATCCCCTCCTTTACCAGGAAGCCCAGCAGAGTTCTGGCACAGAAACGTCCTGACTGATGCCTTTAAATCCTTACACCTTGATTAATCTGCTTGCAGGTTTAAGTAGGTGTCCACGACAGATGGCCAACTCATGACACCGAGTGGATTATGGCATCAGTATTTCATAAAAGAAAGGCTGATCTGCTATAATTAATATTCGCCTCTGTGTCACAGCACGTAAATATGAGGCAGTGGTTTAATAACGTGTATTAAAATCGTACTGCAATAAGTATTAGACACTTTGAAATAAACAATAGTAGACTAAAGGCATTCAATGACCAGAAATTGAAATAAATAAATCGAGACAATAAGGCTACTTAAGGTATAAAATGCTTGGCCTTGCTGTTAATGTTCATCAACAACCAAACACAGGCCAGCCAACATTAACACTCTCGATGCGAGGATTGACTTTGCAGACAGCAACGTATAAATTCCTAATTCCCCCTTTCGTTAGAGGTCATTCACGCCACAGACATCCAGCAAATCGCCGCTCTCCTGCATTTCCATCTCCCCGGCGCTGCTCACACGTCCGCTTTGTCCGTTTCACCAAACGATTTCCGTCCAAGTCCGCCGGTTCATTGTTCACACAGATGCTCTTCTTGGCTTCAGCGTCTGCGGTTATTCACATCCAACGAGCTACTCAGACACTCCCCAAATCTCTTCTCCTGCGCATGCTCCCCACTTAGCGGATGATCTCAGCAGGGGTACGATGATGCATTTAGGTGCTCCTCGTAAGCTGTCAACCTGAGGTCTGCTTTAGCTTATATTTCAATTTTCCAATCTAACAGTATACTACAAGTAGAAAATAAGGAAATGTACTTCTTGATTATAAAATGTCACATTACTGTTAAATGTTAAATTAGCTCTGAGTAAACATCACTTTACACATTTAACATGGAAAAATGAAAGACAGAAGATATTTCAATAACACGTTTATTCAATGAAAAAAAAAAATTGTAACAAAATGTTTCAAGAACAAATCACTCAATTAAATTATTTTGCAGTTTGAAATGTGATCAAATACACCCCATCCTCACTAAATGAAACTTCCATCCATTCAAGGCTTATCTAATCCCAGCTGACACTGGGTGAGAGGAAGGATACACGCCAGACAGGTCACCAGCTTATCACAGGAGGTGATCATCACAATCATTCACACTCAAACTCACCCATACTGTCAAACCACAATCCCCAGTTAATGTGTTTGTTATATTAACCTAACATGTACGTGTCTCTGGACTGTACGAGGAAGCAGGAGTATCCAGAGAAAACAAAATAAGCCTCAATCCTCAATATTTTTTAATACAAATGAAAGGAATAATCAACAAGAAACTTCAGTCTATTTACACTTCTTGGTCAGCTGTAGATACATTAAAATCTTGGAGCACCGTAGTCATCAGGCATCCGCTCGATGTTATACCTGTTTTTAGAATCAGAACAAATTGATTTCAAAGTTAGCAATAACATTATTTTAATTTTATATTTGAAAAACACTTGGAAAATAAAATAGCTACAATCAAAGCTGCCATATATTTTAATTAAAATGCAGAACCCTGCTACCTGTGGTTTGAGATGTACATGATGGGCACTCCAGGGATCTTCCTGACCCTCCTCTTCAGATCTCGGTCAACAGTGGCCAGGATGTAACACTTGTGCTGCAGAAATATTTTTACATAATTTACATCTCCCCTTAGCAACATAGCCAGCGTTAGAAAATGGACATTTATACACATCACAGTTACTATTCGGCAATTTGCCTTTTATCAGAGAACTGTTCCAGAAAGCAGGATTAGTGTAAACTTTGAACTCTATCACACTCCTCTTCTTACTGACTGGTTTTCTTTAATAAACCTGAACTGCTTATTTGATTCCTTCTACAAATACACACATACATATATATTTTATCCTGTTTATTTACCAAAATTTTTAGTTTTTATGTTCTGTACCTCAGAAAATGTTTAATAAGATTGCCTTCTTTGCATATAATTTAGTTGCACTTTTACTTTTGTATAATGACAAAGATTCTGAATATATGTGCTTTGATATCAAGGTATCCATAAAGGAAAATTCAAATCAAGAGTAAATAATAAAAGAGTGGAACACACAAAATAAAATGCAATTCATGGACTTTTTTCCCTTCCTGTTTTCTAATTAATTTGATCAGCCTGTTTTTTGTTGTTGTTTGTTTAAATACCACATATCACTAATATAATATACTCGGAACATATCACAACCTGAACTCAGAGTGATAACACAGAATTAACTGATCTAACTACAATCAGCTGTTCTGGAAACTGAGACTCTGAGGTGATTTTTGCACATGAGACCTGGACGATCTTGAGAAAAATCTGGTTTTAACTTTGTCTGAAAGTGTCCTTTCTCACATGTAGCACACAGCAAAACACTAATCGCTTCAGCTGGGTTCTCACTATTGGAACTACTCTGTTTAATTTCAGCCTGAGTACAGGGTAACCACTCGCCTCATCAAATCTGCAATCGGTGTCTGCAAAGTCAGACTTAAGAGATGCAGCATCATACCTATGTTTTATCATCTGTTTCTTACTATCAGCAGATCAGACAGATAGAGATTAGATATCTGACATTGCCATTTCCGGAAAGCTGACAATGAGCTGGCTAAACAACAGCAGCTGATTATAAGCTAACATTATTCCAGCTACTGTTAGGCTAAAGTGTCCTAAAAATCAATTTTCCATCTGTTGAACAGTTTTATTACATTGTCACATTTTATGAAAGTTAATTCAGTAAGTTTCTAAGTCCAACAATGTTTGTTCCACTTCAAAGAAAGTCTTACTAACACCACTAACAGCGGCAAAAACCATCAGTGTCACTGTCATCAGACAGAAGTGAGCTCATATACTCATATCGGATTCCTTTCACAATATTTTATAGCGTTCTCACAGTAAATGCACAAGGACACCAGCTGAGGTAAACAGCAGACTGCAGCAGACCTTTTCTCTACATCCTTTACCTAATTTCTTTGTTTAGGGAATAGCTGCAAAGACTCCACTCTAAAGAGTTTTGGAGTTGGTTACGTAGTTCCTTTATTTTCTGTGGTCAATTTTTAAGGCTACCTAATTGTGTTACCTTACTGTTCAGCTCTTGTGTGTGCTGACAAGCAAACAGCTGGTGCAAATAAATTAACACTGACATTTAATTGCATATATTACCTGTGTTACTCGTTGGACTAAACAGTCATCGGCATAAGTTCCCTTGTGTGTGCAAGGCAGACGCTCAAATCTTGGATCTTTTGCTATCCTACAAAAAATAAACGAGGTGAAGACTGTTTCAATAACAAACATAACTTTAAATGCATTCAAGTTTGAAACACTTATTTACATCAAGCAGCCTTTACCTGAGTGCGACTCTGTATTTCATTCCAAGCTTTTCAATCTCAGCCATTACACAGTCTGTAATATATGGTATACCTGGATAGGATGGAATTTATTTAAAAAATTAATATAAACTTTCTGTTTTATTGGATGCTGATATAAAACAAGTGACATACAGCAACTTTATTATTTTCATAAAAAATTCCCACTGAGCACTAATACTTACATTTGGCATAAAGGCAGTCCATCATAGACTGAACAATGTCCAGTTTGGCCTTGATGGAGAAGTTTATAAAGTTTGTGTCAACCAGAATGTGGTATGGTGGGCCAAGCTGAGTGTTGTATTGAAAAAAGAGGCACGATGGGTACTTAGTCCTGCACAAAAATCAAAGAAATGAAACCAAATTCATGATCAAACACTTTTTAACGATCCAATGCGTATTTCTGTTTCGTGGCTAACTTACACTTCTCTCTCCTTCAGCTGCGAAGGGTCTTTCTTCTTTTTCTCTTTTGCTTTGGCTCGGTCTGTCTCTTTTCTACAAAACAAACGAGGAGTTGTGGCAGCTTTTTACGTGGGAAGTGGGTGAAGCAATGAATCACATGGCTCTAAATAAAGCAGAGACGCAGAAAGCACTGCCGAAACTTACATTCTTTGGTCCTTGAGACTGATCATTCTTTTCATCGCTGCATATCTCTTCGTTTTCTGCTTCCCCTGCATTGATGAAGCCCAAAATTGATCACAACCAACACTAAACAGCAGAAACTTCAACTGTGTTAATATCCAATTTCTTTAAATAGAGTGACAAAACCTACTCAAAACCTTTTGAAACGTTAACGCTCGTTTAAAAAAAGATACCGTTCACTGTTTAACCTTTAAAACGTCGCGACTAAAGATCCGATGTGGAAACATTGCATTAGCATTAGCATGTTAGCTTAACGGCAAATCTGCCAAAACCTTCTAACCTTCAAGTAAAAAAAAAAGAAGTTATCTAACAACAATTGTTAAGTCGGTGATGTTACTCTGATACAGTGAGAAACTACGTACCATTTCAAATTTCAGTGACTGAACCCACAGAACGGCTACAAGTACGACTTGCTACCCTCGTGTTAGCAATGCGCAGACGTAATCAAAAATCGACGCCCGTTCTGCGCATTTTCCGGTGGCTACGCTAGCGCCTCGCAGACGAAGGTAACTGCAGTGTTTAATAATAGTTTGGCTATATTACAATATTGCATTTGTTCAGTTTTGTTTTGTGTAGTCGTGGTTTTGCAAAAGGCACCTGTGACGATATGCACCTTAATAACCATTTTGGGGCAGGCGACGAGATTTCTGAAAGGACGCTGACACTCAGGGCTAACTCTGCTAGCTGTTAGCGTTGTGTTGTCTGGTCGGAGTGCTACTGTAGCAGTTGTTAAGGGTAGCCTTCCCACTGTGTCAACAGACCAGAGAGAATTGATGATGTTGCAGTTAACCTTCCGGGGCTTTTGACCTTCCCAATAAATTCTAGTTAAGCTTTCTGTTTGAATATGTTATTTCTTTAGCTAGCAGATAGTGTGAAAACGTGCTGGCAGCTGAGCTAGCGAGACCAGAATGGTTATCAATATCTGTCATAATCAGTAGCTGCACTGTTGGTCTCTCATTGGATTTGACTTGCATATCTTTGACCCTGTTTGTCCTTACTAAAAGGTTTGTCAGAGCCTCGTTTTTCATACATATTTCAATGCCACGGGTTTCGTATTATTCTGGACATTTAAATATTCATGCTTTGTTGACAGAACAGTCTACAGCCGGGCTCCTTGGTGTTTCCATCTACTGCTTGTTTGAGCAACTTTTTCTTTTTCTTTTTTTTGGGGCGATCGTGGCTCAAGAGTTGGGAGTTCGTCTTGTAATCGGAAGGTTGCCGGTTCGAGCCCTGGCTTGGACAGTCTCGGGCGTTGTGTCCTTGGGCAAGACACATCACCCGTTGCCTACTGGTGGTGGTCAGAGGGCCCGGTGGCGCCAGTGTCCGGCAGCCTGGCCTCTGTCAGTGCGCCCCAGGGTGGCTGTGGCTACAATGTAGCTGCCATCACCAGTGTGTGAATGTGTGTGTGACTGGGTGGATGACTGGATATGTAAAGCGCTTTGGGGTCCTTAGGGACTAGTAAGGCGCTATATAAATACAGGCCATTTACCATTACCATTTAAAATCCCATCTGGCTAAACTCGTTTTTCCTCTGTTGTAGGAGATTTGAATAACTCGGTGGTGTTTGGTGTTTGAGCACGGAGAAGTCTGAGTGAAGGCTGAAAGATGGTCTGATGGACCGCCGTTTCTTCCTGACCTTCCTCTTCTGCTCACTGTCGTGGATCTTTTTCTGGGAAGTGCGCTGGAAGAAAGGAAAAGAGAGTCAGATCGAGGAATGGCTCAAAGGACATAACCTCTCTCAATACAGAAACTTATTTGAAGGTCAGTGGATCACCTTTGACTTCAATCCTACCTGACCAAAACAATACAGACATTTAGCTGATTTCTTTTTCTTTTAAAGAGCAAGCTGATGTTAGTGATATGTGTGAGAAGACTTGAGTTTTTGCAGAAGTAACAGAGGCAAAAGTATCACTTTCAACTGGATTTACTATGGGTTTATTTCAGAGAGATTGCATTACCTCTAGGTTTGACTCTGATGATATTTTTGTTTTGATCACTAAACATTCAGACTAAATTAATGCCAGTGGCATGCACATACAAACAGCACAGGCTTAAACTTTCATTATAGTAGGTTTTAATGAGGATATAGACATTTCGGGTCATTATACTGATGTGGATTTACTGGCAAGTATGAGTATTGGAGATTGTATATGCTGTTCATGTGCCATCCAGATGTACACACACTTGAAGAACTGAGTCTGAGTGTTCTTAGTCGTTTGGAAGAGGTGGTGAAGGAACAGCAGCGCTGGAGGGAGATTGCAGAGGCTCACATCCAGCTGCTCCGAGACTTTGCCTTCCAGGAGTGGCTTTGCTCCCAGAACCTGGAGCACTATTATCATACGTAAGCAATGAAAGGTCTTAACTTGAACATTTCTACTAATCTGGTATGAGCAGCAACCCTTTGATGTAATCAATTACTTTTTGCCTTGTCATAAATATAGATTATTCCAGGTGATTTCTAAGATTTTGTTTATTTTTTTAAACACTTTTTAAGTTGTTTCATGTTGGTTAACACACACTAGGTTTATTTATGTCCACTTGAGGGCACCCTCTCCATTCACGGCTAGCGGAGTCTGCTGACACTGAGCTGTGTAGGCTGCAGTGTTTTGGAGGGTCACTGCAGTAAAAAGCATTCTTTAGAGACTGCATTTGTGAGACCCTGCAGTAATGCAGATGTTTCTTTATATGTGTTGGGTGCTTTATTCTGATTCAAACAGAACCAGCTATGATTAGTATTAGTTATTGCGCTATCAAAACAATAAGTGTGCTGGGATTCTTTTTTTGAGTAAACTGTTATGTTTCTAGAGGTCAGCTTTGTTTCGGAAACATGGAAAATCCTGTTTGTTAGGAAGATTCCTGACATTTTTAGTGGGATACAGTGTCACATTTCTGAAGGTCATGGCTGCAACACTATAGCTGCCTCCACTGCTGTTGGCTTTTATGTAAGCCTTCATTGCCCACATCATTTTTTTCTGTGCTTTTGGTTCAGTAAAGAACTGAAAAAGACAAAGTTAATTATTAATTTTTTTTTATCAAAATATAGTGTAAGTGGGGATTTAAAGTTGCTTTTAGTATTAGTTGTACCATTATTGTCAGTATGTACATATTAAACTGAGACAGCATCGCGCATGCTGATTAACAAAGGATAGAAAAGGCAGTCTTACAGTTGATTTGATTTTAGTTATTCAGATAATATTTTATACTAATCTCTATTTTTGCCCATAAAGATCATGCTGTGAAAGCGTAATTAGAAAGTGTACTTTATTGATCGCCATGGGGAAATTCCTCTCTGCATTTAACCCATTCACTCAGTGAAGCAGTGGGCAGCCACTGGGCGCCCGGGGAGCAGTGTGTAGGGACGGTACCTTGCTCAGGGATACCTCAGGGTAGCTGTTCAGGGGAATCGAACCCCCGACCTTCCAGTCATGGGGCCACCACTCTGAGCTATCCCTTTTCCCTGCATGATCTCGGTGTCAGCTGACACAGAGACAGTATGAACATTTGTTTTAGAGGATTAAAGGTCTTCTTTGTATTTATTAATACACTGTATTTATCCAGTCCATTGTTGCTGATCTGATTTCGAGCTAATGTTGTCAGGAAGATTTTATAGGATGCCTCTAGCTAGTAAAAATGTGTATGAGGGATCATTTGTGCCAGAGGCAATTAGTGATGCTGTGATGTTTTTTCTGAAGTTTTCTGTTGTATATTTATTAATGTGTGCTGATAATTATCAGTATATTTATTTATTATTGATTTGTGACTTGGTGAACCAAAGATGATTTTCCATTAATCTGGACAGTAGCGTTATTATAATTCTAATAATCTTTTGCTGTTGGCTCATCCAGTATTTTCCTCCTCCATGTACACCACAGGAATTAGATTTTATTATTTTTTTTCCTTCATTTTATTTTATTTATTTTGAAAAAGGCTTGTTGGAACATGTCATCCGATGTAGCTTTTGCAATACTGGAGTAGTTTAGGAGATAAGATTGAGGCTCCTGGCCTGAATTGTACTTAAACCAGATTTTGTTAAGCATGCCGGACGGGTTGTGTGTGTGGTTGGAACTGCATTCTTGTTTAACAGACCTTGAGTTAAAGTTAGGTTTCAGTCCCGAAGCCTAAAAGAAAGGCGGTTGCTTAATGCTAGATTCATTTCTATTACCTGCTTGACATACTTTCACTTTTTGTTTTACACTGCAGACTGAAGACCTTGGGTTGTATGAATTTGGATGATCTCTCTCAGTTTGACAGTCAGCTGCAGCTTTCTTTAGCTGCCTGGGGCTACTACTACGAAGACTACATAAAGTTGTCTACAGGCATCAAGATCCTCCAGACCTCCAGGGGGAGTCGTGACCAGGACTACGAGATCCGGCTGGTGCACAGCCTCGCTGAGAGACGTCTGAATGAGAAGTGGTCATTTGGTGAGACCCTGATCACGTTTTTATTGTTGCCTTTAAAGAATGTTAGTTGTGGTTGTGTTCCCCAGCTGCAAAGTATCAACAGGCATTCAGATACAAGATATAAACTGAAGTACTGTTTGCTTAGTCTTTTCAAGGGTTTTCACAAATGTTACTCAAAGAAGCATAGATCATTTGAAAGCAGCTCAAACTCTCTAATGGAGAAGTTATGTGTTACTTCATCTGTCTGACAACAAAACAACTCTCTACCTTACCAGCTTTCCTGTTGTTTAACAGGGTGTGGTTTTTCATACTAAAGGACAAAGCTGGACATTTTTGTCACACCCTTTCTTTGCATTTGATTTAAAAATAAATTTAGTGGTATGGAAGACCTACCCGAATTTACATAATAAGAAAACTATGTGCTAGAGACAAAGGAAAGTGCAAGCATTGACACGGACTCTGCAGACAAGGAAGAGGAAGTGAGTAGTTTCTACCATTGAAGTAATCAATAGTGCATTGTGTTACTGTCTTCTCAGCGGGAGCTCTCATATTTGGCTGTAGTGTGGCACTGTGCTTCTTGATAAGGGACCTCATGTTTTACGTGATTGGTGAGTACAACATTATCTGGTAGTGTAAGAGTTGATATGGTTGGTGTTTACTTGTTTGTGACTGATTTTTATTCCTGCTCACACTTTGGCTTTAGTTGGTGCTGCTGTTCTTTGTTTTTGTTTTGTTTTTTAAATAGTTGGTGATGAAACGTTGCTTAAACTTTAGTTATTTTAATACTGAAATGTTTTTTTGCAAACATGAGTTCCAACTCTTGTGCTTCTTTCCTTCTTGTGGCAGGTGGAATTACTGTTTCCATCATAGCGTTTGTCTTTACCATCAAGTTCCTCTGTGAGCTTGCGGCAAGGGTGGTCAGCTTCCTGCAGAATGAGGATCCAGGGCGACGCGGTGATCGTAGCATCTACGACTATGTCCGGGGAAACTACCTGGACCCACGTTCCTGCAAAGTGTCGTGGGACTGGAAGGAACCACAGGAAGTGGGACAGACTATGAGTTTCAGAGTCCAGGTGACACTAGATTCTAGATGTTGAGAACGGAAAAAGAGATGATAATAAAATCTCATTTCAGTATTAAATGACACTTTTTATTTTTCTATTTTCGCCTTTTCAGCTGTTCTATAAGAATGGTCAGCCTTTCCCAGCACATCGGCCTGTGGGGCTGAGGGTCAACATTACCCACATTGAACTGGCCCTGGACATCCCTGTCACACAGGAAGTCCTGCAAGACCCAGAGTCCAATGTAGTCAAAGTGGCTTTTACAGTACGCAAGGCTGGACGCTATGAGGTTGCAGTCAAGCTGGGTGGACTGAATGTGGCCTATAGCCCTTATTACAAGATATTCCAGCCAGGTAGATGCATAAAATGTTTTCATGCAGTTTACATGTCAAAACAAAGTCTTTATTTTGGATGACTATATTTCTGTTCTCTTTTTCACTTCAGGTACCGTTGTTCCATCCAAAACCAAGATAGCCTACCATTTCTCCACCCTGGTGCTAACAAACGGACAGCGGCACACTTTACAAATTGAGCCCAGAGACGAGTATGGAAACCCTACTAGTAACTCCACATCTCTGACAGATGAAGCAAACTACAGTGTCCATGTGCACTCTGTAAGCGAGTGAAACTCCTGTTCTTTTACCCATTAAACTGAGATTATTTTCTTGATGATGACTAGTATAAAACCTAGGATTAGTTTTTATTCTTAAGTTGCACAATTGCACAACCATTAGCTTTAGAACTAAGCTTGGATTCATTTGTAGTCTTTCTGCTCTTTCAGCTAGGCACAGCAGATGATGACAGTCTGGAGGGCCTCTACAGCAAATCTGTTTCAGTCAACAAGCAGCAGTGCCAGGTCCTGTTGAGACTGACCCTGAAGAAGACTGGTTGTTTCAGGGCTCGCATCTCCTACAAGGATCAGCCGCTCAGCAATGGGGAATTTGACATAATTGTTCTCAGTGGTGAGCAGCTTGTACGTGCTGAAGAGAAATGTATTAGCTACTGTTTTCATAGCCTAATGCTCCTCTTTGCATGTCACATTGCAGAGAATGAAAAGGCCTGCGTGGAGAAGAATGTATCCACTCCTGGCATAAGCATCTACTTTGAGGCATACCTTTACAGTAGTGGGAACTACAGCAGTTCATCGTGGCAGTTACCAGCCTCCTCTTTGTTGGCTCCCCAGAGGAGGCCCTCCATGGGAGAAGAGGAGGATGAACATGACTCTCCTGTGGAGGGACAACCTGAGAAGGTCAAGAAACCAAAAAAGGTCTACTGTTACATATCGCCAAAGGTAAGTGACCGGTGGCAATATAATGGTTAGGTATTGGAACCAGAATCACCTTTACTGTCCTCGTCCTCTAGATCAGTGCCCACATACATACAGACCTATTTACACAAAAGCTTTAATACCTGGATTATATTTTATGAAGTAATAGTTGAAACACTTCAGTTGTTCTTGTATGCTTATTGTCTCTTCCAATTTATTTATTTTAAATTCAGAGATTTTAAAACTGCCGGTATGAAAATATGAGGGCATTGAACCTGAGTTTTTTCAAACAGCAATTATCCGTGAAGGAATTCTACCTGAAAATTATTCCATGGCGCCTTTTCACCTTTCGAGTATGTCCAGGAACAAAGGTAAGCAGAACTAATGTTAGACAATCCTGGAGAATCGGTATATATATTTTAGATCGCTTTGTTTTATACGTGGTTAATGTTTAATTGAATTATTTTCTTTAGTTTACCTATTATGGTCCTGACCCAGTTCACAAGTACCTAACTCTAGTAGTGGATGATGGGATACAGCCTCCTGTGGAGCTAAGCTGCAAGGATAGGAACATCATGGCTGCCACCTTCATTCGCTTCCTGCACAAGAATATTGGTTTGTTTGAGTGGAACGCCGTTACTTTTGCACGATCTGCACTTAGCAAATACCGTCTCTGGAAAACTGTAGTAGTAATTTAATAATGTTGTTTTCAGGCGGCTCTGAAACGTTCCAAGACAAGGTGAATTTCTTTCAGCGTGAACTCAGGCACATCCATTCCAAGAGACCTCGCACCAAGACCTGCCTAAAAGTCAGCCGACACGCCATTCTGGATTCAGTAAGTCTTACGCCGTATGTTATTCTTTCTAGTGGAAAAGCAGAAGAATAGACATAATTTGTCTAATCCAGTGTGTAATATGTGGAATGTAATTTATTTCTCCAAAACAGTGCACCAGAATGACGTTAAGCATTAAAGTCCGAGGTTTATTAACAAAAACATTTATTACCAATGTTTTCTGATTTAAAAAAAAAAAAAAGGTTTAGAGGAAAGCCTTTTTAAATATCAGCTCACATGTCACTTTGACCTTTTTCCAAAATGTTTTTTCTACGATGCCAAACACGGTGAAACAGTGCTCCCTTTTGTCTCTGTGTGTGTAGTACACATGTCTGATATATTCCTGTATACGAGTTGAACTTGGCAGGAGTTACAGGATTTTGCATTAACCAAATGGTGCGTGTTAATCTGAGGCATGATTTCACCATCTGAGTATGACACACACACACACACACACACACACACACACACACACACACACACACACACACACACACACACACGTCAGTCCTCTGAGATTTCAGTTTCCAAGTGTTTTTTGCTTTACATTTAGGACGTTCTATTTACTCAGATTTGTTTTATTTTTTTTATTATAAGCTATGTTTTAAGACCACAGGTGTAATCATAACAGTGACGTGATCATTATGATCATATAGACTGTTTCAATTGTCGTTTTTGTTCTTTGTTCAGTCATTGAAGGCCACGAGGAACTTCTCAGTGTCTGACTGGAGTAAAAACTTTGAGGTCGTGTTTCAGGACGAGGAAGGTAAACGCACAATCAACACGAGGCCTATTGGAGAAATTTTGCCTCAAGCACTTCACTTAAAATCAGAAAAGGATTTAAGGTGCGTTAAAATCTTTCCTCTGCAGCTCTGGACTGGGGCGGTCCACGCAGGGAGTGGTTTGAACTGATTTGCAAGACCCTCTTTGACACATCGAATCAATTGTTCACCCGCTTCAGTGACAACAACCAGGGCCTTGTGAGTTTCTGTTTTCAACCCTTTGTATATTCTGTATACACCATCAACACTTAGTTTTGAAACTCACAGAGAGTATTCGTCTTCATTTTCCAGGTACACCCAAATCCCGAGAGGCCACCCCACTTGCGCCTAAAGATGTATGAGTTTGCGGGTCGCGTTGTAGGGAAATGTCTGTATGAGTCTGCTCTGGGTGGAGCCTACAAACAGCTGGTTCGAGCTCGCTTTACACGTTCCTTCTTGGCCCAAATCATTGGCCTGAGAATGAACTACAAGGTATGGAACGCAGTGCATTCCAATTAAAGAGACACTTTGCTCAGAAGTTGGAAGGTCACATCTCTATTGTTTATCCTCTAGTGTCAACTGTTCTATCTCATCACTTAAACATTCCTGACAAAGCCAAGAAACCTCATTTCTTTCTTGGCATTATTTATTTAACAGAAAACTACCCAATGTGTTTGGCTGTTTATCCAAATAACTTTGCTTTCAAAGTTGAGAACTCCAGTCCACCCAGTCATCTTTTTATCCTTCCCTGCTAGAAGATGAAGTACCGTGTTTATTTAAAAATTTAATTTTTTTTTTCCTGGGTTTTCGTTTGGTTTTCCACATGCAGTACTTTGAGACGGACGACCAGGAGTTCTACAAAACTAAAGTGTGCTTCATCCTAAACAATGACGTGAGTGAAATGGACCTGGTGTTTGCCGAGGAGAAGTATAGCAAGTCGGGACAGCTGGAGAAGGTGAGGCAACACTTTGGAAAGGAACCTCCCCTTATTTTCTTTTTTTTTTTTTAAGTACTGATGTAGGAGATCCCAGGAGATCGAAGCAGTAAACCAAGCAAAACGAACCATATTGCTTGTTTGGCTAGAGCCTCAATTTTTCTTAAAAGAGGAAGAGTGGTGAGTTTATATAAAAGGATGGACGAGTAGAGTTTGGCATTCTTTATAAACTTTGTTGTTCACTTGTAAAATATCACCCAAATAGCTGGCTGCATAAATCTGTGATGAAACAGAGCTCAGACTCGCAGATTTTTAATTAAATAACGACGTTACTTCATCAAATTGTTTCTTTAACATTAAATTGAATTGCCCAAATATTTATAAATTAGCTGAGAAGTAATGTGACATTTTTAACAGGGTTTCTGGTCTTATATGTACTAATTCTTTCCTCTGGTTCTTGCTGTTACTTGCCAGTTTTCAACATACCTTAAATGTCATTTTCACCCCGTCGTCCTCTCTTCCAGGTGGTGGAGCTTATATCTGGTGGAGCTCAAATTGCTGTGACCAATGAAAACAAGATGCATTATCTTAACCTGCTGGCCCAGTATAGACTGGCCAGTCAGGTAAGAGATGAGGTGGAACATTTCCTTAAAGGTAAGGCAATGAAGCTAGCACACAGCTGCATATTTGTATTTTTCTTGCCAGTTCCTCTCATTTGAGATCTCTGGTAATGTGCACATAATTGGTGCATTTTTCCTGATCAATTGCAGGTTTGAATGAACTGGTTCCAGAAAACCTGCTAGCCATATTTGATGAGAACGAGTTGGAGGTATGTGCGATGTATTGTAATTAAGTCCTGCTGACATTTTAATCAACACCGGATATTTATGGATTTTTGTGCTTCTAGCTGCTGATGTGTGGCACTGGTGACATAAACGTACAGGACTTCAAGGCCCACGCTGTGATTGTTGGTGGATCATGGCACTTCCGAGAGAAGGTATGTCACGGACGCTTTTCTTATCTTGCCTTCTTCCCTAGCAGCTGGTGGAAATGTCTGATCTTGTTTGCTTTTCCTTTTTCCTTCCCTCAGGTGATGAAGTGGTTCTGGGCGGTGGTGTCCAGCTTCACGCAGGAAGAACTGGCTCGTCTTCTGCAGTTCACCACTGGCTCCTCTCAGCTACCCCACGGCGGGTTCAACACTCTTTGCCCCTCGTTCCAGATCATCGCTGCCCCCACACATAGCACTTTGCCCACTGCACACACCTGGTGAGTAGAAGCACACATACTGAGAAAAAAAACATGCCTCAACAGTGCTGCTATGTGTTTTTCTGACTGCTGCCAAATCCTGCATCATGTCTAAAACCAACAGTCTTCTCACTGATGATATAAATCTTTAAGACCAGATCACACGTACAGTAAAAAGCTTTAATTGTACAAAAAAATGTTATTCAAACGGGAGAAAATAGCACATTTCTGTGGAATAGCTTCAGTGGCTTATTTATACATACTAATGAGTTTTTTATGGCAGCAACAGGATGGCATACATGGGACTGAGTCAAAATAAACTGTGTGAGAGAGTGAAAAAAACCCCCACTGCAACACCATGGCTCACTGATATGTTTTTAATAGTTGTTGGAAACAATAGAGCTCTGTGATGGTGTGTTTTGCTGTATCACGTCTGGAAATGTTTAAAATCATTTCCGTTTTTGGTCTTTTAATTAGATTTTTTTTTCTCTATACATAAGAAATAATGTAAAATCAGCCCGTTCTCCTTTTCAAATCAACAATAGTTCAACCACATGCTGACTCTCTGTGTCTGTCTAGTTTTAACCAGCTGTGCCTCCCTACCTACGACTCCTACGAGGAGCTGCACAAGATGCTGAAGCTGGCCATCAGCGAGGGCAGTGAGGGTTTTGGCATGCTCTGACTCTTCCATCAACTGGCACTGTGGTTTCACACATACAAGAGACCAGCACTGCTCCTTTGCCCTGGTTTCCTGCATTCGTTCACATTTAACGGGTGGACTTGTTGACCCTCTCACCCTCTCTAATAAATACCCTCTCTCAAGATGAGCGAGCGTTTCAGGAAGTCCCAGGAGGCTGTAGTGAATCTCGTATGAACTCTAGTGCTACTGTATATAAAATATTCCACTTTTGTATAAGGGAAAAAAGACAAAAATGACAAAATTCCAACTGCTGAAAAAGGGTGTTTGGACAGTTTTTATTTCCTGATGCTAAAGTTTGCTTAGTTTTATATGCTTGAGAGACGAATAATACTAGAGCAAAAGCCTTGAGTATAACTGTATAACTGCTTCTTTGGCATTTTGCAAACTGAGGAACACTTAAGTGCAACAGCAGCCTACATGTGACGTGGGTGACACGTGCATCTACAGCACTTTGGCCTTAATCGATCAGGGACTGATGTGTGTATGTAAATATTATAATATCACTCTTTAATTTGTACATACTAGCGCGTATACAAATGTTTTCATCTTGTTACTTTTTGATTTAATATTTAAGGAGAAGGGATTTACTTTACTGTTGCACGTTTGATGGGTTGAGATTTAATATAATTTCTACAAGTTGTTGTTTTGTTTTTGTTTTTTTCTATCTGAGCAGAAGTGGTTTTAAAAGGAGCCAAGTGATATTGTTTCTATATTTACATTTTAACTTATTGTGTCTTGAAAGTAAAGTTTCTGTTGTCCCTTAATCTTTGTTTTTATGTTTTATAAACCCGCCTTATTCATGCCCTTTGCCTCTGATTGTATCCCGGGAGGTGCGTAGGTGAGAGAAACATACTCAACAATAGTAGGTAATAGTCATGTTATGATTTTTCTCTTATCACATGCAGAGGTTACTGTGGATGTGAAAGCTGTTTGGGTGTTGGAGGGCTGAGCCCTTGTATAACATTTTGTTATATAATGCTTTTGACTGACTCATTCACAGCCTTTCATGGGTTTACCTCAGAATCTCCTTTGCCACCTATGCATCCTCTGACACAGGTGTGTGTTTTCATGCACATGCATGGCAAACGTGCATACGGTTTGTTCATAGTTGCCTCCTTCCAGCCCTGACTGTACAACCTTTAGCCATATGCTCCATCATCCTGTAAGCTGAGCAAAGCATCTTTGAACAATAAGCCCTGTTTCTTTGTTATATTGTTGTAAAACTATTTATTTTTATTGCTGTTAGTTTTGTCGATATCCTGAGCCAACAGAAGTGTTTCCTTGTTTGTTTGTTTGTTTGTTTTATGAAGTTTTTTTTCTTATTTATTAGCACTTCCTTTTGTGTTGCAGAGTTTACATGGTCATTGGCCAATTTGGAGAAGTCTGCTGACAGCTTGTAGAGCATTTAGGAAAAGTGATGTTTACTCATAGCAAACAGAAAATGTTAATCGGTAATCATTCTTCTTAGTAGTGTTTTGATTAGTTTTGCCCCGTAAGCAGTCAAATTTGATTCAAGAGATTGAACTTAGTAAATGGCAAAGAAATCCCATTTTGACAGTAGGTGTTGGATTTATTTGCATTGGCTCCTCAGTGCCAATCGAATGTCAGAGCTTTAGCTGATCTTGCAGTGTTAAAGAAGTTTGTGAGGGTTTAGGCGCTCGTGTTTGTTTGGGTTGTGCAATGTTGACCTGACCTTCAGCACCAGTACCAAAAGCTGACATCATATTTATCCAGCACAAAGCGTGAGCGTTACTTGTACGACTTGATCAGTGTAAACAAGTATAACTGAGTTCTGTCCTGTAATTTTATGTTGCTTAATGTTTTGCTCTTCATGATCATTTACTACTCTGTTTTCTGTTTAGATGCTTTTTGGATCAGATGGCCTGAGTGTGATTTTTAGCGATTTAGATGTTGTGAAATATTTGCCTATGAAGTTGAAGATGGGTGGGGTCCGGGGGGGAGGGTGGGGTAATTTTTTCCTTTTACTTCTTTGTTTTTGTTTGTTTTGGGTTTTTTAATGAGCCTCTGCTGCTGATGAATGTTTGAGATTCTCTGGATGGAGCTACTTTGTTTATGGGAATAAAAATGATGGAATAAATTCTTGTCATCTTATTTCAACCTCTGTATTGTATTTATCTTATCTGAAGACGTGTTATTACACACCCCTATTTCCACCCAAAAACCCAGTCTATGGTTTGGTGCCTCACATGTGCTGGTTTGAAAATTGACCTTGATCTGACCCTAAAACACCCTGTAAACTAAAGTGGCGTTCATTTAGAAAGCTGGAATACGTGTAGTGCTTGAGAATAAGACTTTCTTGGCCCGATGAATGCATGTTTTAGACACAAGAGGGCACTAGCTCTGCATGTGACATGAGCTCACCATGAGTGACAGATGCGTGCTGCATCTTCTATAATCCCCACAGACAGGTTGGCTGCAGTGATGAGGGAGCTTTCCTGTCTTCAGATAACCCTCTGTACTTTGTCTTCCACACAGAGGGAATCCCTCCATTTACGAGCATTTCTCATTCTCTCCTTCATGCTCGCAAATAGAAAATAAAGTTAATTTAACTTGGAGGGGTAAATTAAAATTTGTATGATTCCTAAATGCAGAAAGCATAATGGGGGGGGGGGGGTGGCTTCCATCATATGGAGGCAGCCGCAGCAACACAGGATGTGATAGAAGTACACTCTTGCCCTCCTGTTTGTTTTCTCAGTTGATGTCTGATAAGCCCTCAACTAAGAAAACATCTTTAATGCCTGTGGCTATGCAGGTCCTGTGGCCATCAGCACGATACCCACATATTCCTGGCACGACTCCACGTACTGTGGTCTGAACACTATCAGGAGCCGGGAGAAGGCATCTTGAAGTACTTGGAGGCAGAAGTCCAGTTATTTGGTCTTGGCATGCACCTGTGGATTTGCATAATGGTCTCTCTCAAATTTCCCCCAGGAATGCTCGCTAAAGAGGGACCACAAATCAGAAAGTCGTCCTCTGGCATCTAACTAAGAATAATGTACCATGTTGGAAAGGCCTTCTTTCCTTACAGAACCCGTGGGAGATCGCGCAGCAACAGTACAGTGTTGTTTTTTCGGTGTGTTTTTTAAATAAATTTAAATCTGATGATAAAAATTCCCTAGAAAAAATGTTTCTCAGACAAATTTTCCATGCACTATTCCATAAACAACTCCAGACCCAACTGTAGCTTGGTTTGGAGGTTTAGGGTTTGCCAAGTTCCTGGAGGGGGGGAGTCAATTTATGGGTGGTTCTCTTCGACCAAAGAATTTACTTACTCATTTCCCACTTCAGACACCCCCTGCCTCCGAGGAGATGTCCGTCGGTTTCTCTGATCAAAGATAATTGTCCGCAGACAGGGATCCACACAAGGGAGACAACACGAATGTGGCACGCCTATATGCGTCTTTAGAACATGACCGCGCTCTCTTCCCTGCTAAACAGCCGTGGGGGTTGTCTGCTTCCCATTCCAACATGCAGGTCCTCATTACCTGATTGGACGGTGCTGATTAACTGCCAACTGGATTGGCTGCAGATATTTATCATCTGCGATGATTGGGCCAATTTAGACTCCAATCTTAATCAGGGTTGTTGAAGGACAGCAGCAGGCCGGGACTTCAGTTCTCTCCAGGAAGTTCACCGTTACTGTACACAATCTAGTGATTTCATGTTACATGCAAATGCGTCCAAACCCTCCCAAACATCAGCTCTCTTCATATGCTGGTCCTCTAGAACATAGGTGTCAAACTCTAGCCCGTAGCCTAATTACATTTGGCCCGTGAAGCCATACCAAATTCCTATCAGAGCTGGCCTGCTGGTATTATACAGCTACTATATATATCGTTTAGTATTAGGCTTTGCTTGTTCCATATTCAGTTTTCCAGCAAAACTTGTTTGAGTCCATAAGAAAAGACTCATTCTTATATCTGGAGGAGGATTTTTCAATAAATATTAACGTTAGCCCGCGACTTTGTTCCAGTTTTGAATTTTGGCCCACTGAGTTTGACACCCCTGCTCTAGAAGAAGCAGAGTATGAAAGAAGAGCCTCCCTCCATCCGCAATGGCTTACCACAAACGCGACTTTGACTGTTTTGGCTTTTTGGGGGAAATTCTGCCTCAGCTGTGCCTTCCGAAGTTGGCCTATCAGCATCTTAGAAGTGTGGTTCTGCTATTGACGTTGTTGAGGATTATGGAGAAAACAGCTGTAAGAAATGCACATCACAGTGATGACAATGGTCTGGCAACTGAGTGCGGCACAGGAATGTATGGATGGGATGTTACTGCTGATTAAAGAGATTTTTTTCCCCGTGATCTCTTGATATTTCACAGATTCTCTGTTGCTCCTATCAATTCTTCTGTTATTTAAGTGATGAGATCTGGCTCTCAACACTTAGGCTGAGATGACTGCAAGTCTACCTGGAACAGCACGTAAAAGCGGCCTGACAAAGGAGAAAGGGCCTTGTTTGAATACATTCCTCTGCCGGGAACAGGACCGCCAACATGTGCTTTGTTTTGAAAGTGATATAAACGTCCATGCGTACAGCTGAGGTCAGAGACAAGCAGAAGCACGCGTATTGAAAAACGGCTAGCGCGGAGATTAAGTGTCCCCCAGCTGATGGCTGTCTATATTATATATGATGCTGCAATGTGCCTATTGATTCATGGGGTTAGCTGTCCTGCTGGGATGTGCAGCTGCACTGTATTTGATATGTTGGGAAACATTTCAGTAGTTCTATTTCTTTTGTAATAACAGGGACTCTAATGTTGATTGTCTAACTGTCTGAGAAATACCCCATGCTGCTCCGCCCTTATTGTTAGCACAGTTGTCACTATAGCGTGTGTGAATAGGCTGTGAATGTTAACAGCATGGGTCGCGGTCTAGTTGAGTCTGTCACCTGACCATTTTAATCTAGACTGAAACATCTTGACAGTTTTGTACAATTTGTCTCCTAGTGACTTTCCTCAACTTTTCCCCATAACACTAGGCTTTTCTTTTGTGTCTGCTGGACTCATTGTCAGTGGGACAGACTTGTCCTGCATCCCTCTCAGAAAACTGAAATATCTCAGCACTACTCTGTACATTTAGGCATTTGTGGTTTCCCCAAGTTAGTGATGTTTGATTTCTCTTCAGCTGCTGAGTTTGACACAGATCTGCTACAGCTCATCTAATGCTATCACTAGATCAAAAAATCTATTTTTAGGG